ACTTCTGTTCAAAGTATAAGTACAAGAAAATACAAAAAGGAAAAGAGATACTACTTATCATTATCATAAATGTCACTCAAATTTCCCCAATCTGCTAGTAAATTTGATTCGTGCTTCATCTATCTTAAAATATAAAGAAATCTTCAATACTAAATTCCATTATGAAATAATACACATATTAATATTCTGCATAGGTCTCTGACTTTACCCAAAAAAAGATATAATATATATATAATGTAAATATATAGATTATCTATTATGCAGATGTATTTAAATAATTTCTGTAGTTATTTATGATTATTTATGTAATATTAAATAGGAAAAAAGATACATTAGCAACTCCTCCATAAAAGAGGTTAACATGATGTTTTGAATTTTAAAAAAAGCTACTAAACCCATTTTAGTAATCATTCACAAATTAATACCATTCCATATATATAGATCATACCTTGTAAACAAATCTTATCTTAACAGATAGAATATGTAGCTTCAATGTGCCATAGGAAACTTTGCTAACTCTATGACAAGTACAAAATTTTGTGACATTTCATTCTTATAAAAAATTCACTGTAGAAAATTTCTATGTATAAACAGGTAAAAAGAGAACATATCAATAAATGGATATTTATTGAACAAATCAATAAGTGAATACTCCAGGTATCCACTGCCCAGCCTCACAAACTCACCAATTTGAGAGCACTCTGTTTTTCATCTATACCCCAGCTAAAAGGATTCTTTTGAAGAAAATCCTACATATTCTTTTACTTCAGTTTTCAGTCATGTCTGACTCTTTGCAATCCCATAGACTCCCTACAGATCCCACTATAGCTTGTCTCTCCATGGAATTCTCCAGGCAAGAATACTGGAGTCTGTAGCCATTCCCTTCTCCAGGGGAAATATTTCATGATATGTATCATTAAACAAAAATACTTTCTCTATTACAACTGTGATACTATTATGCCACCATGAAAAACTTAAGAAAATACCTAATATAAATTTGCTCTTTCTTGACTGTTTCTTTGATTGAATCAGAATCCTGAAGTTCATTTTGGTCCACACATTGCATTTGGTTGATATATCATTCATCTCTTTCATTCTATAGGTGGCCCTCCCTCTCTTAAGTCCCTATGATGTTTTAAGAAATTGGTCATTTGTTTAATAGAGATTTTCACAGTATGGATCTTGTTGCTTCCACCCTCATGGTATCATTTAAAATATTTGCCTGATGTCTATGCTTCCTATAATCTGATGGTTAAGTCCAGAGTCCTGATTTGGCTAGATTCAGAGTTTTTACAAGTATATTTCATAGATGTAGAATTCCATCCTGAGACATGTAATGCCTATTTCTCTCTATCCTTCTCCTTCTCCCCATTCTTTCCTATTAATGTCCATTGTTGCTTACTGCCTAGATTCATTATTTCATTGGGGGATTACAAAAGAGCAATATTTTTAATCTATCATTTTTCTTCACATATTAGCTAGAATATTTTAAAAAGAAGAAAATTCTGTGGCCCAGTTTTTTTAATAAAGTCCAGTTAAATGCTGAAGTATTTCTTCTATTTACTCATTTTCAGGCTGATTACTTGGTTTTCTAGCAACCTCTGATGGTCCCCAACAGACTCATATTTTTATTTTTAGTATCATTATGTATTTGAGAGTGTTTTACTTTTGAATATGTGAAACTCATTCAATTTTAGTTATCTTAGGGTAAAAAATTAAACCAAGACCATACTTGTGGTTGAAAAAGAATAAAATTAAAATTCTAGAAGATTTGCTCAATATACAAAACTTAGACTAGTTCCTTAAACTCTCTAAGCCTCCATGTCTGCTTCACAGGGTAATTATGACAATTAAGTCAGTCAGTGAGTGGGAAGAGCAGGGCCTGGACTACCAGGTTCAGAAATGTTCACTGTTTAAAACCAGATGACATTCATGAATTCCAACATTTCTTACTACTGAACATACAGTTTGTCTTTAAAAGTAGACAATCCCCAGTCTTTAGAAAGCTAATAGTACTAATAAATAGGCAATAAATAAAATGGAATATAATTCCACTATATTTTATTTCTAAAGATCTACAATGTTTCATCTGTGCCAACATGTATGCCAAATATGTATGCCAAACATGTATGCCAAACAACATGTATGCCAAACACTTTATATGATCATGTATTCATTGAAAGTTCATATTAATAAGGTATATTTGAGAATATCTAGTCTGGTTAGAAAGACCAAGTGATACTTAATATTATACTGATGTCTTAGTTAACCTTAGACCTTAGGGTCTAAGGGTCCTTCAGGACTTTNAGTCATTGGGAAAAGTCCCTAATATGCATGACTTTACATATAAAAATTATAGAACCTCAAATATATCTGCTACCTAAGTTGTAAGATACCTTTATGATGTCAAATAAGACTCAGTCACAGATATTGCTAGATATTATATAATCTAGACCTGAAGTTTCAGTAGGTATACCTCTGTCAATTCAATAAATACAAAAATCTGTTGCATTTAACTGTAAAAGAAATCTTTATACCAGATAATAAATATTCCTGAGGAAAATATCATCACTATTAAATAATAAGATGGCAAATAAACACCATTCATTTTAATATATACACTTGGTAAGAATATGCAATAAATAAAAAAATCTGTTGCATTTAACTGTAAAAGAAATCTTTATATCAGATAAATATTTCTGAGGAAAATATCACTATTAAATAATAAGATGGCAAATAAACACCATTCATTTTAATATATGCGCTTGGTAAGAATACTAGGAATAAACTAAGATTAATTTTTCCCACCATCTCTAACAATGAACTTCATAATAGACACAGAAGACTGCTGATGATTCTCTTGTCTAACGTTTTTACAGTATTCTTACCAATTTTAGTCAGTTTTAGAAATATGATTGGTGCTATTTGAACTGTTTTTTTAATTAAAATAATAAATTGGCCATTTTAAAATTTAACTCCATGTCCTTCATCCAAGACTCTATCTATAATTCTTAGAAGTAAACCAGAATACCAGACATTTGCTACTGATAGATTTTCAATGCCAATTTATTGACAGTTTTAATACTATATTCTAAGAACAGATCATTCTTTTACTAAAACACACACATACACACAAACCTTTTTGCCTTGATGGGTATTCTATTTCATTTCTGCTTAATGGTACTTTTTATCACTCTGTTCATTAGGATAGTCATCCTGGAACCATAAACACCCTAAATGAAATGCCGTGGGGGACAGATTTCCAATATTTCTAATTAAACATACTGTTTACCATAAGCTAATTAGAGTAAGCAACTCTTTGGCACGGTACAGAAACTATAAAATATAAATTACTAGGATTAAAGATAGTGTGCTCATTGAAACTTTATCAGGTTATATAAGGTGGGTTTACAGTGAATCCAAGATAATATTGAGTTGCATTTGTTTCAATGGGATATAATTTATTTTTAATTATCTATTTCCTGTCAAAACCACCCTTGACAGAGTCAATATTAAGATCCAAGAAGGAACAGACAGTGCAACTACAATCCCCACCCCTCTTTCCCCTCCTCTTTGTCTCTGTAATTTAAATGGAGAATTGAAATACTATCTCACTAATATAAGCAACATTTAGACATTCATCTAAATAACTTGTATAGTTCTTTTTTTTTCCCCTGATTAAATGAATCTATTTTGTTTCCTGTTGAAGAGGTCATTGCTAATGTCCAGGGTGAGGAGTAATACTAGAAAATGAATGTATACTCATCCTTTTACATTTTTTTAGACAATAACTGAATAAGTTTTTTCTATTTTAACTTGAGAATGCAATTCTAGAATACATTGTCTTAACATGAAAACTAAAAGTTAACCGTTTGGAAAATAGAAGGATGAAAGAAGGGCAAATTCTGGCCATAGAGGTCAAGTCAAAGAACAGGCCTAATTTGTCAGGAGCATTTCCTACAAGGCACGAGGAATATGTTTGTCTCAAGCTACAATCAAAGGCTTTAACTGAATTCTAAAGCAGAATGAAACTTTTGAGATATAACAGTCAACTTAGAACTATATAGAAAGTCGAACAGAAATAGTTAACAGTAATTCTGAAGTTAGTAGGGAATTAAAGAATAAGATTTATGCATTCAGAGTCCTTTATGGCAATTTATTGAAAAAGGCACACACAAAAATCAGAACTTTTCATATAAGACATGAAAGTACATAAGCAATGCTGAATGGAAAAGTACACCACTGCCAACCCAGAGGGAATCACTGTGAAAAGAAATGGGTCTTAATTTCCTTTATATTTTTCCATTAAATACACACATCCATATACACACATGCATATGTGCATGTGTATGTGCTTTTTTTCACTTGAAAATTATTATAATGATCTTCATCTTGTCTTTCTGATTTGATTATATCATGAACATATTTAATAGTTGGAAAGAATTTACTTCTTACTCCTTTAAATAACTGTTAACATTCTACAGGATGGCTCTAACAGAAATATTCCCTTTAGTGGACATTCATTTTATTATTTATTTATTTATTTTTGGACATTCATTTTAGATCTTTCAAAAGCACATGGAACAGAAAGAGTTCAATCCAACAGTATTCTTGTATATTTTTGTTCTAATTTCTTTTATCTATATGTGATATCAAAAGTACCTGTGAACTTTTCTTAGGGCTGCAGGAACCAAGTGAGTGACACAAATTTTTATAGAAATATTGAGATCCATTTATGTCAAGGCACCCCTTGGGCAGTAAAGCCACCTAACTACCCCCAAGAGACAAAGACATTTCTAGGATGAGTCTTCTTCCCATTCCATAGAGAAGTGAGTGAACCTTAAAGCCTTCTTTGCAACCTGTGTCCTCCTCTCCAATTTGATGATTCCAGAGGGAATTGGAAGGGAGTGAAAATAATGAATACAGGCTCATGACACCATCTGACCATCATCCCCTGCTATAGTTNCCCGGGGAATGGGCATCACAAGGCCCCACATTACTAAGGGGGAGGCCCTGCGGCTCGTCACCTGAGCCACACACCAGCACTTGCTGGAAGGAAAGCCCCCCAGCACCAGGCAGTGCCCTAATCTGAAACATTTCCTTGTGGGGACTCATCAGCACCCTTGAAGCTGCCAATGTCCAGGGTCCTTCCAGAAATTCCCTCCCCGCCCCCAGGGGCCCCGTCTTCCTTCTCAACCGGGGCATTTGCCCTTTGTGCTCAGGGGCTCCTGTCTGAGGGTCATGGCTCGCCTGCTGCTGCCTGTCACCCTGAGGAGACCCAGGGTGGGGGGCAGCCCCTGACAGGTACCTGCCTCAGGACCAGCCTAGGCCCAGGATGGGGGCTGACTGTGAATCAGCCAGCCACGACCCTCGGTGGGGGGGGGACCATCAGTGTCCTGCCCCTCGGCCTCTGGCTCTCGTCACGTGTCCTCTCTCAGGGATTCTGGGCCTCAACCTGCTTATGGCCAAAGGTCCTCCCACTAGAGGTGGACTTGGGCCGAAGCACCATGTGCAGGGGACCGAGACCGAGGAGGGGGTCAGAGCCAGCGTCCTGCAGGGGCTGCTGATCTGCCCAGCCAGTCAGCCTCCCACGGGTTCCACCCTCTCCATGGCCAGACCCCTTCCCACCCGGTGCGGTCTCCTCACAGCTGTCTCTTCCCTCAGGCCACCCGTGCTCCCACTGCCAGTCTCGAGAGCAGCTCAGACCCAGAACCTCCCGAAGTATTCCCGAAGAGCAGCCTCAGATAGGGAAACCGAGGAGACTGTCCTATCCACCGTCTCATCAGGACAGCGAGGGAGAGAAAAAGACGGTGGAGGAATAGGTGACCATGGAGTACGTCTCTCTCCACGGATACATCAGGAATACACCTTTAGACACAGAAATGCGTCCAGAACACCAGCTGAGAGCGGACAGGAGCGCCCGACCAGTGGAACAGAATATACAAAGCCATGGAAAACTCAGTAGGACAAAGGAACTAGAGGGATAAACACGACTAAGAACAGGACTGGACCGGCCCTCAGCCAGTGGGGAAACTGAAGCAGGGGTCTGATCCCAGCACTGGGGCAATGTCTGAGTCAGAGCAGAAACATTTAAGGCTGAGAGTGAAACAGCTGATCTGTGGTGCTGAAATGGAATGAGAACCAGACAGTCCTTTCCACAGCCATACATACTCCTGACACGGACACAGGTCCACTGGAAGGCACGTCGGCTGGGAGCTGGAGCTTAGGGATTGTGGAGCAACCCCGGGGTGAGGACTGCTCTTGACTGTGGGAGACACAGCGAGGGCATGTGACGGGGGAGATTGTGGTGGGAAATGCCTTGGAAGAAAGCCAGGCAGCCATGGAAGCAAGGCAATACTGCTGAGTCACGTGTAGGGGATGAAGCCATCACCATAGCCTCTGTCTCTCCACGCACCAGCACGGGCAGCTGAACAATAGAGAGACTGGCCCATCAAACACCCGACGCACTGAACCGCAGAGTAGGACGCCACCCAGGGGGCCTCTCTAAGTGCCTACTCTGCTGATCTACAGAGTAGGACCCCAGCCAGGGGGCCCCCTCTATGTGCCTGATGCGCCAAAGAACAGAGATGGACCCCAGCCAAGGGAGCCCTCTAAGCGCCTGAGTGGACAGAGCTATGGAGAAAGACTGGCCAAAGAGGACTTCTGATTGCCGGCTACAAAAAGACTCTGATGGGGCCAAAACTGCCGCAGCAGAGGCAGTCCATGTCCCTGCACACCTGGCGCTTCCAGGGTCATCGCAAGCCAAGCAGCTGTGCCACCTTCACGGTTAACTGTCACTGGGGCAGAGCTGCCGCAGGCACAAAAAGTCTCGCGTCTACGCACACAGGGGCACTTTGGTAGTGTCCAACTCTTTGCCATCCTGTAGACTGTGGCCTGCCAGGCTTCTCCGTCAGGGAAGAGGGTTCTCTGGGCAAGAATACTGGAGCGCATGGGCTAATACTGCTTGCCATACCCTTCCAGGGCACTATATTTTCTGCTGCCCTAGCCGCCAACCCCCCTGAGTACCTGGTGCTGCCAGAAGCCCTGTGACCCAAGCAGCTGCACCACCTCCATACGTGGCCCTCACAGGGGCAAACCCAAGTCCTCCAGGGCAGCCTCAGGAGCAAACCCCAATGGACAACCAACATGCAGAGGTGGAAATTAAACCACATTTGAAACCCAGGGGCAGTGTGGCAAAGGAAGGAGACCCAAAACCTTCCCACCAGCCTTCCAAGCTGCAGATTAAACCCACAGGACCAACGAGGCAGACTCTGTGTCTATGGTATGTATCAAAGGACACTGAGAGCTCCCGCAAGAGAAAATGCACTAGTTCTGAGAGCTGTGGACATTGAAGAGAAGAACACACAGGAGTAGACCAGGTTAGAATATGAGATGCCCCCATAGCAGGTCCAGAGACCAGCACAGTGTTGGAGCACATCCTAGGGAGGTGAGGTGGCCTGTGACCCCCAGTGAGGGACAGGACTCTGACAGCAGAGACTCAAGGAAAAAATTTATTACTTCTATGTTTTGACGTCTTCTGTAGATTCTTTTAGGGGCTCAGACAGTAAAGTGTCTGCCTGTAGTGCAGGAGATCTGGATTCGATCCCTTGGAGAAGGAAATGGCAACCCACTCCAGTACTCTTGCCTGGAAAATTCCATAGACTGAGGAGCCTGGTAGGCTACAGCCCATGGGATTGAAAAGAGTTGGACACGACTGAGTGAGATTCTTTTGGATTTTTCTTTTTTCTTTGCCTCCCCCCTCTCCACTGTAGCTGTCGGTTTTGTTGGCACTACAAAATCTAATTAACCTGTTGAGCCTTTTTTCCCCTCAGTCACATTTTTTTATAGTTGTTCTAAACCTCTCCCTCTACACTGGGCTTTTGCAGTTCTATGGAGTTTTCCTTTTTTCTTTTTTAATTTTACTTTTCTAAGCCTATTATTTTTTTTTTTCATTTTTTCCTTTCCTTTTCCTACTGTGCTTTTCCCCTTGCACTTCATCTTTAATGTAATAAATATTCTTCATCTACCTCTATTTAACCTTGCACAGCTATTCCTTCTTTCTTTCCTTTCCTCTCAACATATTTGTTAGCTCTATTTCTATTGCTTTATTCCCCACTTGGTACCTTGGTTTAGTTTTGCTTTCCACTATGTGCTATAGTTAGTTTTGTTCTTAACTGGTAAGTATAATTTTTGATTTCCTTTGTTAGCTGGGTCAATCTACTGTACTTTATTCTTGTTGCACTATTTTTACTTTGCTCATGGGTGTATATGTATACATTTCATTATTTTCATCCTTATTTGCTGATTTTGTAACTGCCAATCCCCATCTGTCTGGGCTTCATCTTTGGTTTCTTGTTTTGGGATATTTGTTTTAATCTCACTGAATGCCATAACAAACCGCTTGGGAATCCTTCTTCCTGACCAGAGACCAAGCCCTGAGCCTTTGGAGTGTGAGCGTTGCCTCCAAGACCCTAGACTCAGAGAACTAACCACAGGGAGTATCAAATAGTGAGAAGTCACACAAAGGAAACCACCTGAGTACAGGACCCAGCCTCACCCAACCACCAGCAGCACCCTGAACAGGACGTCTCATCTAAACAACAAACAAAAGAAAAATACAAACCCAACCATCAGCACACAGGATTACCACCTCACTCAGCCTTACCCATCAGAGGTAAAACAAACAAACAAACACTCAGCACAAATCTCACCCTAATAGAAGCTTACACAAACCACCTGACCAACCTTCAGAGTGCACAAAACTAAAGGAAGAAAGAATTCAACCTTGAAGGCTGGGAGAAGGAGACCTCCAACAAAATATGTTAGAAAAAAATGAAAAGGCAGAGAAATACTACACAAATGAAAGAACAAACTAGAAAACAGAAGTCCAAATAAATGAAGAAGAAACAGGCAAACTACCTGAAAAAGAACACCAAATAATGACAGTAAAGATCAAAAACCTTGAAGACACAATGGAGAAAATGCAAGATTCGAACAACAAAGACCTAGAAGAATTAAAGAATAGACATATACAGACAAACAACACAATTATTGAAACTAAAAATACTCTACAAGGAATCAAGAGCAGAATATCTGAAGCAGAACGAATCTGTGAGCTGGAAGATAAAAAGGTAGAAATAACTCCTGACGAGCAGAGTAACGTAAAAAGGAATGAAAACAATGGAGGACAGTCTCAGACACCTCTGAAACAGTATCCAACTCACCAACATTCGAATTATAGGGGTCCCAGAAGAAGGAGAGAAAAAGAAAGAGTATGACAAAAGTTTGGAAGAGATTATAGTTGAAAATTTTCCCAACGAGGAAAACAAAATAGTCAATCAAGTCCAAAGGGCACAGAGTCCCATACAGGATAAACCCAAGGAGAAACAGGCCAAGACACATCCTAATCAAACTAACAAAGACTAAACACAAACAAAGAATAGTAAATGCGGCAAGGGAGAAGCAACAAGTAACATACAAGGAAAACCCCATATGCTTAACAGCTGATCTTTCAGTAGAAACTCTGCAGGCCAGAGGGGAAGGGCAGGATCTATTTAAAGTACTGAAGGGAAAAAAATCTATGACCAAGATTACTGAACCCAGCAAGGATCTCATTTCTTGAATTCAGTACCACCAAACCAGCTTTACAACACACGTTAAAGGGAATTATATAGCCAAGAAATGCAAGAGAAGAAAGAAGATCTACAAAGCCCCAAACAATTTAGAAAATGGAAACAGCAACACATATACCAATAATTACTTCAAATGTAAATGGACTATATGATCCAACCAAAAGATACAGACAGGCTGAATGGGTACAAAAACAAAACCCACATATATGCTGTCTACAACAAACCCACTTCAGACCTAAAGACACATATAGACTGAAAGTGAGAGGATGGAAAACTATATTCCATACAAATGGGAGGCAAAAAAAGCTGGAGTAGCAACCCTCATATCAGACAAAATAGACCTTAAAATAAAGAAGATTACAAGAGATAAGGAAGGACACTACATAATGATCAAGGGCTCAATCCAAGAGGAAGACATAACAATTGCAAATATCTATGCACTCATATAGGAGCACCTCACTACATAAGACAAAGACTAACACACATAAAAGGAGAAACGGACAGTAACACAAGAAGAGTAGGAGACTTTAACACCCCACTCTCACCAATGGACAGATCATCAAAACATAAAAC